ACTGAATTAGTTATATACTATCAATATTCATGATCATGCTCAGGAACTTACGCTTTTATTTCATAATCCAAGTATAACTTTTAAACAAATTAGTACTCATCAAAATAAGATGCACACGCATCGCGCGTACTTTGAGACTAATATAAACAAATCTACAAGGTCTTTGTCAGACTATTTTCTTCTATTCAAATCATAAAAAGATTATGTTGAGCCATTTTCTCCGAGCTAAGTTATTTCCTCAACTTATTTGATAATATAAGAACTGCACAACACATATAAATACGAGCATATGCTGATACTTAAGCTACTAGTTGTTTAGTAAGATTTGGTTATTCACGAAAAGCCTTTTTGGAGGCTTTTGCATCTATATCCAATTTTGGGATCACAATTGAACCTATACCCACTTTGTAAAGAAATTTGCAAGTCTACTCACCTTACGATCAATTTCAAACTTATTGGGTCTGAAGTTAAAAAAAATTAGTCTGAAGTGAAAAAATTACACTTCAGATGCACTTAAGGCCAAAAAGGTCTGAAGCGCAACCAATACTTTCATGCACTTAAGGCCAATAAACGTGAAATAAAAAATTGCACTTCAGATGCACTTAAGACCAATAGGCCTGAAAGTGCAACAAACGTTTTCTTACACTTAAGGCCAATAAGTCTGAAGTGAAAATTGCATTTCAGATGCACCAAAAGGCCAGAAGTGAAACAAATATTTTCCTACACCTAAGGCCAATAAGTCTGAAGTGAAAAATTGCACTTCAGATGCACTTAAGGCCAAATAGGTCTGAAGTGCAACCAATGGTTTCATACCCTTAAGGCCAATAAGTCTAAAGTGAAAAATTGCACTTCAGATGCACTAAAGGCCAAACAGATCCAAAGTGCAACCAATGGTTTCATGCACTTAAGCCAATAAGTCTGAAGTGAAAAATTACACTTCAGATGCACTCAAGGCCAAATGCCATGAAGGGCAACAAACGTTTTTCTTATACTTAAGGCTAATAAGTCTTAAGTGAATGTTGCACTTCAGATGCACTTAAGGCCAAAAGGTCTGCAAGTGCAACTAATGTTTTCATGCACTTAAGGCCAAATAGGCCTGAAGTGCAAATTGCCCAAAAACATAAACTTGTTCTTCGAAATTTAACAATCCAATATATGATTTAATACATAAATCTACTCCAAATGAGCTCAAATTTGAAACATAACCTCCAAATATCATCAAGAACAAATCCCAATCATCAATTTGTCAAAACAACAATAAACCTAACAAACCCATTTTGCTATTAAGAAAAGAAATCCAATAATAGTAAAAAATAAAATGCCACAACAACTCACCACTATAAAACATCATAAACTACCTTAAAATATGTTCACAAATACCATATAAAATCACTCTTACGCGAAGGTCTGAAGTTGTTTAAACAATGGGTACAAGTTTAAAAAAAATTACAAAAGTGGGTACAAGTTAAATGAGGGCAACTAAATAGGGCGCCACTGCAATTTTTACCTTTTTTTTTTTGCAAGAAGGATAGCCCATGCCTTCCACTACTGTTGCTAGTTAAGAATGAACATTTGTCCTCTTATTACGGTGGTGTTCATTTATTCCGCTGAGTACCTAGTACCTCCCAAAGAATATAAGTTCATAAAACGCAAGATCGCAACGGAAAGGAATTTCCATTACGAGATCCCTGTGAAATTTTAAAGAGAAATAGTTAGGGGAGGTTTGGAGTGGCTTACTAGCTTGTTTAACGCTATTTTCAGGACGAGGAAGATGCCTTAATATTGGCAGTGAAGTTTGATGATTCTGCTGTACAAAAACAAAGGTAATGTCCAGAACTGCAACAACTATAGGGGTATCAAGCTATTGAGTTACCCTATGAAAGTTTGGGAGAGGGTGGTGGAGAGGAGAGTGAGGACAGATGTATCTATCTGTGAGAACCAGCTCAGATTTATGCTGGGACGGTCAACTACAAAAGCCATTCACCTTGTGAGACTATTGGTGGAGTAGTATAAGGAGAGGAAAAGGACTTGCACATGTTGTTAATTGACCTTGAGAAGGCTTATGACAAAGTCCCGATGGAGGTGCTATAGAGATGTTTGGAGGTTAGGAAGCCCCGGTAGCGTACATTAGGGTGATTAAGGACATGTACAAATGTGCTAAGACTCAAGTGAGCACTGAGAGAGGAGAATCAAAACATTTCCCTATGGAGATGGGGTTGCATCAAGGATCGGCCGTAGCCCATTTTTGTTTGCCTTAGCGTTGGATGTGCTGACACGTTACATACACGGGAGGGGCCATGGTCTATGTTATTTTCTAATGACATAATACTGGTTGATGAGACGCGAGGAGGTGTTAACGCTAGGTTGGAAGTTTGGAGACAAATGCTGGAGTCTAATGGTTTCAAGTTGAGTAGGTCGAAAACTGAATACTTGGAGTACAAGTTCAGTGATGAGAGGCATGAAGAAAAAGTGGAAGAGAAAATGATACTCAAGTCATTCCCAAAAGAGATAGTTTCAAGTGTATTGGGTCTATAATCCAAGGCAATCGGGAGATTGACGAGAATGATACTCACTGCATTGGAGTGGGGTGGAGGAGACAGAGGCTAGCTTCTGGGTTTTATGAGATAAAATGTGCCGCCTAGACGTAAGGGCAGCAAATTCTACAGGATGGCGGTTAGACCGGTTATATTGTATGGAGCTAAGTGTTGGCCAAATAGGCCTGAAGTGCGAATTGCCCAGAAAGGCAGAAACAGAAATTTTTTCTTCGAATTTTTACAATCCAATTTACGATTTAATACATAAATCTACTCCAAATGAGCTCAAATTTGAAACATAACCTCCAAATATCATCAAAAACAAATCTCAATCATCAATTTATCAAAATAATAATGAATCTAACGAATTCATTTTGCAATTAAGGAAAAAAAAGTGTCACAACAACTCACCAATGTAAAACATCATAAACTACCTTAAAATATGTACACAAATTCCATATAAAATCACACTTACCCGAATGCCTGAAGTTGTTTAAAGAGTAGGTACAAGTTTAAAAAAATTAAAAAGTGGGTACAAGTTATATGGGGTCGACTAAATAGGGCGTCACTGCAATTTTTACCTTTTTTTGCAAGAAGGATAGCCCATGCCTTCCACTACCGTTGCTAGTTAAGAATTATCGTTTGTCCTCTTATTACGGTGGTGCTCGTTTATTCCACCGAGTACCTAGTACCTCCCAAAGAATATAAGTTCATAAAATGCAAGATCGCAAACGGAAAGGACTTTGCATTACAAGATCCCGATAGAATTTTGAAAAGAAGCGGGTAGGGTATGCTTGGAGTATCTTACTAGCTTTTTAACGCCATTTTCAGGACGAAGAAGATGCCCAAAAATTGGCAGTGGAGTTTGATGATTCCGCTGTACAAAAACAAAGGTGATATCCAGAACTGCAACAACTATAGGGGTATCAAGCTGTTGGGTAACACTATGAAAGTTTGAGAGAGGGTGGTGGAGCGGTGTGTGAGGAGAGGTGTATCTATCTCTAGAACCAGTTCGGATTTATGTCGGGACGATCAACTACAGAAGTCATTCACCTTGTGAGACAATTGGTGGAGCAGTATAAGGAGAGGAAAAAGGACTTGCAACATGGTGTTCATTGACCTTGAGAGGGCTTATGACAAAGTCCTGAGGGAGGTGCTATGGAGATGTTTGGAGGTTAGCGGAGTCCTGGTAGCATACATCAGGTTGATTAAGGACATGTATGAAGGTGCTAAGACTTGGGTGAGCACTGAGAGAGGAGACTCGAAACATTTCCCTATGGAGATGGGGTTGCAACAAGGACCGGCTCGTAGCCCATTTTTGTTTGCCCTAGCGTTGGATATGTTGACACGTTACATACAAGGGAGGGGTGCCATGGTGTATGTTATTTGCTAATGACATAGTACTAATTGAAGAGACGTAGGGGGTGTTAACGCTTGGATGGAAGTTTGGAGACAAATGCTGGAGTCCAAAGGTTTCGAGTTGAGTAGGTCGAAAACTGAATACCTGGAGTGCAAGTTAAGTGATGAGAGGCATGGAGAAGAAGTGAAAGTGAAGAATGATACTCAAGTCATTTCCAAAAGAGATAGTTTCAAGTATATTGGGTCTATAATCCAAGGCAGCAGGGAGATTGACGAGGATGGTACTCACTGCATTGGAGTGGGGTAGAGGACACAGGGACTAGCTTCTGTGTTTTATGCGATAAAAATGTGCCGCCTAGACGTAAGGACAAATTGTACAGGGTGGTGGTTAGACCGGTTATGTTGTATGGAGCTGAGTGTTGGCCCGTCAAGAAATCTCATGTCCGTAAGATAAAAGTAGTTGAAATGAGAATGTTGAGATGGGTGTGTGGACATAACAGGAAAAACAAGATTATGAATGAAGTTATTAGGGACAAGGTGAGAGTGGCACCTATAGAAGACAAGTTGTGGGAATCGAGGCTACGATGGTTTGGGCATGTGAAGAGGAGAGACATAGATGCCCCGGTCAGGAAGTGTGAAAGGTTGACCATGGTGGGCTTGAGGAAAGGCAGGCGTAGGCCTAAGAAGTATTGGGGAGAGGTGATTAGGCAGGACGTGTCATTGCTTCACCTAACCGAGGGCATGACTAGTGATAGGAAGGTGTGGAGGTCGAGGACTAAGGTGGTGGGTTGACAGGTAGTAGTGAATTTGTCCTAGGTTTACCAGTATACTAGTACTATTCTTGTATTCTTTTATTCTTAGTTCTTATTACTTGTGATGTCACGATCACTTCCATTACCTTATTTGTATTATTGTTGTTATTGCTTGTTGCTTTATTTTTATCGTTCCTAAAGCCGATAATCTATCGGAAATAGCCTTTCTCCCTTTATAAGGTAGGGATAAGGCTCTACGCACTATCCGCCCCAAACCCCACGTATGAGATTAAGCTGGGTTTGTTGTTGTATCATAGCATCTACTATTGAGGATTGAAATAATTTAGGCTCTCAAAGGGCTTAATTCGAGTGCATAAATTACACAGCAACTAAATATAGCAGCTAAGTGACAAAAGGCTTAAAATTAGAAGTACATGAACATGAAAAAGGAAATTGTAACTGTTAAACACATACTAGCTATCAGAATCATTCATCCCATCTCTTAGTTTCCTTTAAAAAGCTTCTTCAGTCATCGGTTTACTTCTTCAAGCCTCGCGTTAACAGCCTTGACCCATAGTCATTTTTCCCCGTCAACTGCCTCCGACTGAACTCCTCGTCTCAGCATTAGATACTTTTCCTGCCACAATTACAAGAGCTAAGAATGAAAATAACGAACTTTCAAACAAGACGCATTTAACATCACCGACAATAAAAGTAAAATATTAACAGATGCCCTAAATGTTTTTATCACTGTTAATAGGACTATGTCGAAAATTGAGGATTTGGACTATGGACAAATTGTAGAAAGAAAATTACAAAGAGCGGGGATGGATACACAGGGTTGCAGAATTCTACCTCTAGCATCGTCAGTTCTTGGTGGAGTTTTTGATTTTCCTCCACGAGTTTTTGCTTCCTTTCTTTGAAGAATTCTTGCTCTTTCCTCCAGCGTTCTTGCTTTAAATATTCCAAAAGTTCTTTATCTTGTCGCTCCCGACTTCTACTCCATTGATAGACAATCGCAGTACCTACCATCTAAACATGGGAAAAATTAGCATTCTGATCAAATAAAGCATGGCAGCAAAATTTATGTGAAAGAATACCGTAACACAAACAAAAGCTTCACCGGTATACTGTATAGCATTCTCTTTAGGAAGAGGGGTATTACCGAAGTGGAGTCTCTGAATTCCAGAAAAAAAGGAGATTAGTAATAATAGCCTTGTCATGTCAAATTGGAAATTATTTAAACACAATTCAGCATAATTAATTACCATACCTGACCCGCTTTGACAAGCATTTCTTCGAATTTGGGATTCATGTCTTCACCTTTTCGCAGGCCAAAAACTAAAGGCTTTGATATAATCTCCACCACAGCATCAATACAAAATAAGACTGACATGATGATGAAAATTAAAGATGAGCGCAAAGCTTTGAACATTACATTCGATTTTTTCTTTTGACTGTGAACAAGGGAAAAAATAGTAGCTCAATTATCGGGATGTAAACCATGATCAAAGCCCTCCTAGACTAGAATAAAGCACTATCAATAGTCACTACCACGCTCGACCATTAAACCCTAGGACTTTCACATTATAATAACGTTTGGCAGAAGATAAAAAAGGATTTACCCTTTTGCATAACCTTAAAAATCATGTAATTAGAACTCCAAAGGGCTCGAATTCAGATACCATAAATTTTAAATCGACGAACCGCATCAGCGACTAGACATTACAATCACATGAGCATCACAAACATCTTGCCTCAAATAAAATAAAAGCCATAAGCTTTAAGAATAAATAATAAACGAACGAGATCAAATTAGAGCACCAAAATACGTACCTTTTCTAAACATTTTGATGGTTGTCAAGACTTCTTCCAGAGATTGAATAACCTACGAAACTTGTGAAAATAAATCTACAACATTCAATTTCAGATCATAGCTATGTACTGTATATATATAAGAATATAGCCAAACTCTTTCCCCTTTCTCTAGAAAACCAACTTATAGTTTCTGCTTTTCCTTTCCTTTACCATTTTAAAAAATAAGAATAAATTCTTATCCCTCTTTCATAGCCCTAGAAAATAGAACGTACCTGCGAAAACGCCGTCTGAGCTTGCTGCACACGCCGCTCGGTTTTGCCGTTTTTTTTTAACGATTTGGGGAAGAGACTATTTGGTCTGCTGAGGTGGATGAAAGGGGAGGAGCCTAAAATACTCCTATGCTAAATGGTTTATAAAAACCCTGTCCATTTATCCGCCGGAAAATATATAAGACGTTAATTCTATTGTTAAAATTACCTAGGGACTAACGGCTCTTCATGTGGGCGGCTCATTAAATGATGTGGCATTCGTTCATTTGTCCACGTGGCTCAGTGGGGTTGAAATTGTATTTGGATAATTTCCTACCCGTTTAACCGATCCGACCTACTCTTTTTTATGTGGGTCAGTTCTTTTACCGGAAAAACACTCATTTTTTTTTTACCATTTCTCTCATTTCCTCTATCTAAACCAACAAATGGCGATTTTAGGGTTTCTTAAAGGTTCGTGGTTTGGTTCGATTTGGTGCGCATAAAACAGGAACAACTTTGATTTTCAGCACTATCTTGCAATATCATTCGATTAAAGTAAGTATTTACAGCTTTAAGTTATTAAAATGTTGGGTTGGGGAATATTTGGGAACTAACAAGTTTATGTCTTTTGCATGTGATTTTTTTATGTTGTCTGAGCTATTTTTTGTACCTTTCTAGATTTATTTATGTTACTTTGTTTTTGGTGGTCCTTGTCGTGTTGGTCCTACATATTAAAGCTAGGGTTTTTGTCGATTTGTATAATTAATTGATGGTGGAGTTTCATATCTTTATATTTTTATTGTTTAAACCTTGAATACTGCTAATGTGGTCCCATTTTGCCTTTTTTATTGTTGCTGCAAGTGATATTATCCGAAGGATGGTAGTGAACTTGTATTTTAATTATGAGGATGAGTGGGTGTTGGAACTTATACTAAGAAAGATGTACACATGTTGAGTGGTTATGAAGTAGATCACCTCTCTTATATTGATTTGTGTAAAGAATACACTAAAGTAATAGGATTTGTTGAGGTACAACAGCTAATATTTCATAACCAAATGATACACCATTCATAAGCGGCATGGAGGAATGCAACCTACACTACAAGAATTTGTAGGTCTCTCGAGACAAGTTCCTTTCATGTGATTTAAGTTAGGTCTACCCATCATTTTTAATGCCTTCCTTCACTATAGTGTCACACCTACGGATTGGCATATCAGTAGGCTGACGCAGGACATGAACATGACCAACCATCTCAAGAAAAATTAAATCAACGGAATGCCAAGATAAGAAGTTGAAGAAGTAAAATCAGTGATCCTACTTATGAAATACCCAACAGGTAAGTGTTTGTAGGGAATTAAATGACATCAGCTTTCAACTATCCATCCACAAGAATGAACTGCTTATGATTGAAGGTGAGGAAAAAAAGATGGGAAAACTTTTTCAGTATGTTACTAAAGGCTGCAGTCTGAAAGCTTCTTCAACAGCACTCTGGTTGGAAAACTAATTTAAAGTTGTAGTAGGAAACCTTAATTGTTTAGGATTTGGTTTATTTAATTCATGTCTCAACAGGATTTGTAGTCATAATTAATATAAGAATAGGCTTTCCTATTTCTAGTTAAAATAGGTTTTGTACTACTATAAATAGAGGTATCACTATCTTATTTTAATGTATGTGAAGGAAATAAAGAATTATAGAGAGCTTTCAGAGAAATTAATAATAAAATATTTTCCTTCACCTATTTAACCATATTGCCTTAACTTCACAATCTTGAGTTTGACCGGGGATGTTAGATATTGAGTCCCTTATCTGAACATTGCTCAGTCACTGATCCAGAAAGTATTTTTCTTCATGCTATGAGACTCCCTCCGTTTGACCATTGAACATTGTTCCAAGGGAACACAATATCTCCTCGTGAATTCAGGATAGAATAATTATCTGCCGTTATTTTTCATCATGGTGTGACAGAGTACAAATTAACTTTCTAGTGATTCCAAAAATACTTTGAGTTAGGGGGAGCGTGTCGTAAGCCAATAATTATATAATGACATCATTTTTGTTATGAGTGTTGTAAGTCTCTCTCCTTTTACAGTAGTGTACAAACATAAAATGATGATGAGTCTTGTCACTCCATAAGACCTAAATAATCCACCAAAAAAAAATGTTAGAGTTTAGGACCCAAGATAGAGAGATAGCTTTGTGTGCCAACAGCCAACCTTGATGGATAAAGAAAAAAGTTAACATTGAACCCAACGACTGCCAGCCAGCCCTAAAGCAAAATTAGCTAACAGATGCTTGAAATCTGTTGACAATGCATTTTTGTTGACAGTAGATCGGCAATGGAGGAGAATAATGTCGATACACCCAAGGATACAAATGAGATAACCTAGCTGATGATGGGTGCTATTACATTTCAGTCTTTTATGCTTTATATGTTTTCTAGAAAGTTCTAAGGGAATTTATGTAAACTCACATTTTGTTTAGTTAGTGAGTGGAGAGTTTAGGCAGTTAAGTGTGTGCATAGATTTTGTATATAAATATACACTCTACAACTGTAAACAGCAGAGAGAATAATGAGAAAACAGAAAATTCCAAAATTCATTTCTCAATTTCATGTTCTGCTTTAACATGGTATCAGAGCAAAGGTGCTCGATCTCTACTGTTTCTTCTAGATTGTTCTAGATTTTTTTCACAGATCTTTGTGATTTGTGTTTGGATTTCAGTTCAGTTATAACTTCGATCCTCTGATATTGTTTTGATCTCGATTCTTCTCCAATTCGATCTTCTTATATTGTTTTGATCTCGATTCTTCTCCAATTCAATCTGATTTTTTTGCTTCATTGCTGTTGATAACAATGGCGGACGAGAATCCTTTTATAGAAAATCAAGTTATTGTTGAGCGTTCTCATCCTTTGTACTTAAGTCCTTCAGACAATCCTGGAATAAATCTGGTGTTTACTCTATTTGATGGGACTGGATATGCAGATAGGCGAAAATCCATGTTGATTTCCTTATCAGCTAAGAACAAGCTAGGACTAATCAATGGAAGATTTCCTAAACCTAGAAATGACTCCCCTTACTTCGAGCTTTGGATACGATGCAATGATATGGTGATGGCTTGGTTATTGAATTAATTGACAAAAGGAATTAGATCCAGTGTTCTGCATTCTAATTCAGCCAGGGACCTTTGAAAACAACTTGAGGACATGTATGGACAATTTGATGTAGCTCAATTATTTAGCCTGCAAAGGAAACTATTAGAAACTACATAGGGTTCTAATGACATAGCAACATATTTTAATAATATAAAAGCAATATGGGATGAATTGAGTGCACTGGATGCAAGAGTTCCATGTACTTGTGTTGAATGCACATGTGAAGCAAAGCATAAGAATAAAGCAATTGAGGAAAGACAAAAGCTAGTTCAGTTTCTTATGGGCTTAAATGAGACATACACTACTTGTAGAGGGAACATTATGATGATGAACCCTGTGCCAAACATTGATAAGGCCTACTCTCTTCTCCTTCAAGAAGAAAGGCAGAGATTTATCCAACCTTAAGTGATATCACCTATGGATTCGAGTTCCTTTAATGCTTCTACACAAAAGTTTGGTCAATATACTGGACAAGGCAGAATAAACTTTAATATAAATATTGGAGGAGGAAACAAGTATAATGCAACAAAGGGAAATGACAAAAGGAATATGTTCTATTCTTATTGCCAAAGACCTAGGCATACAGTAGAAAGATGCTTCAAAATTCATGGTTATCCGACAGGTTTTAAGACAAATATGCAAGGAAATAAGCCAAGAAAATTTCTGAGTTCAAACATTATACAGGGAAATGCAGTGTCCACAGAAGAAGATCTTATTGATATGCAGGGAAACTCAAATCAAGGAACTCAACATAACAGTATTTCACCAAGTGTTGTGGGAATAAGTCAGGATCAATATTCTCAGCTTATGGAGATCTTACAACAGTCAAAATTGGTCAACAAGCTGCTTTAAGTTCTAAAGTTAATGTAATTGCTAATTGTGCTAGTATAGCCCCTATTCTGCCTTCTTTACTTCCTGATAAGTCCTTTATACACTCATGGATCCTTGACTCAGGTGCTTCTGAGCACATGACTTTTGATAAATCCATTCTATTTGATATCATAGCCCTAGCTCAACCTTTAACCGTTAATCTACCAAATTCTTTCAAAATCAAAGTCACTCATACTGGAAAGGTATCCCTATTTCCAGACATGATTTTAAACAGAGTCCTATATGTCCCTTCCTTTAAATTCAACTTGTTGTCTGTCCACAAGTTTTGCTACCAATTTGGTTGTGATCTAATTTTCAGTGCTTTTCTCTGCTCTATGCAGGGCCTTCCCTCGAAGAGGCCTTTGGATCTTGGTAGACTCAATAATGGACTATACATCTTACGATCAAAACACTATCCTTCTGGACACTTAGTCAAAGCAGACAACACTAACTTTTCATCTACTGCGGATACTAGTATCAACTCTTCTATTCACTCTATGTCTAATTCTGTTGATCATTGTCAAGATGTGTGGCACATTAGACTAGGCCATATGCCCATTACTAGCATGAAAAATATTGCTACTTTACCTTTTTTTTGTATCAATAAAGCCACAACTCCTTGTACAATTTGCCCCCTAGCTAGGCAACATAAGCTGCTTTTTCCTAACAGTTGTATTTCTTCTACCAAAATATTTGAGCTTATTCATATTGATACATGGGGCCATATAAAACAGCCACCCATGATGGTTTCAAATATTTCCTCACAATTGTGGATGATTTTAGTAGGGGCACATGGACCTATCTTTTGAGCACAAAAGGGAATGCCTTTACCATACTCAAATCCTTCATTTCTATGGTGGAAAGACAGTTTAACACCAAAGTAAAAAAGGTTAGGTCTGATAATGCCTTGGAGTTTGGGTCTAGCATTAGTTCAACTGCCTATTTTCTTTCCAAAGGAATTATTCATCAAACAAGTTGTGTTTCTACACCTCAACAAAATGGTGTAGTAGAGCGCAAGCATAGACACCTCTTGGAGGTATGTTGAGCCCTCTTATTTCAGTCTCACTTACCTATTGTCTATTGGG